AGGAAGGAAGGAAGGAAGGAAGGAAGGAAGGAAGGAAGGAAGGAAGGAAGGGGAAGGAAGGAAGGAAGGAAGGAAGGAAGGAAGGAAGGAAGGAAGGAAGGAAGGAAAAGAGGGAGGGAGGAAGGAGGAAAGGAAGGAAGGAAGGAAAGAAGGAAGGGAGGGAGGGAGGGAGGGAGGGAGAGGCCAGGGACAGAGGCTCCAGCCTGTAATTCCAACACTTTGGGAGGCGGAGGTAGGCAGATTACTTGAGGTCAGGAGTTTAAGACCAGCCTGACTAACATGGTGAAACCCCAATCTCTACTAAAAATACAAAAAATAGTCAGGCATGGTGGCATGAGCCTGTAATTCCAGCTGCTTGAGAGGCTAAGGAAGGAGAATTGCTTGAATCCAGGAGGCAGAGGTTGTAGTGAGCCAAGATCACACCACAGCACTCCAGCCTGGGTGACAGAGTGAGACTGTCTCAAAAAACTTCACAAAAAGATAGAAAGAACTGACATCTCAACTATATTGAGTCTTCCTATTCATGCACATGATTATTGTGCCCGCAGCTGGGGTGGGAGTTGTCTTAGTCTGCCCAGGCTCCTATAATAGAATGCCATGGACTGGGTGGCTTGAACAACAGAAATTTATTTCTCACAATTACACAGGATGGGAAGTCCAAGTTCAGGGTGCCAGCATGGTCAGGTTCAGTGAGGGCTTGCTTCTTAGTTTATATGTTCACCTTCTTGCCATGTCCTCACATAAAAAGAGAGATATTGTCACTCCTGTGTTCCTTCTTTTATTTTTTTGAAACAGAGTCTCACTCTATTGTCCAGGTTAGAATATAGTGACACGATCTCAGTTCACGGCAACCTCCACCTTCTGGGTTCAAGTGATTCTTTGCCTCAGCCTCCTGAGTAGCTGGGACTACAGGCATATGCACCATGCCCAGCTAATTGTGTCTCTTCTTATAAGGGCACTAATTGCATCATGGAGGCTCCACCCTTTTGGCCTAGTTATCTCCCAAAGGCCCCACCTCCAAATGCCATCACATTGGGGATTAGGGCTTCAACATACAAGTTTGAGGGGACACAAACATTAGGTTCATATCAGAAGGGCACATCCAAGCAAACTGCATCTGGGGCCATATCAGTAGAATCCAAGTGTCAGATGAGGGAGGTTGTAGATATGCTCTTCTCTCCCAATCAGACCCTACCTGGAGACCTGTCCGCCGCCCTGGGATCTTATATACAAAAGAGTATAACAAATGAACAGTAGACAGAGATGCACCTGAGAAGTGCATCCTGAAGCCAGATTCAGGAGGAGCCACTGGATGGAAAAGACTCAATGACACTGCAGCAGAGAGGAGGGCTTCAGGGTGGGGACCAGAGCAGGTCAAATTAGCATGGCTGATTCACATCAAAAGATGCTGCTGGGACCCAGCCTCAGACATTGGCACTGAGATTGAGCCCCACCCCCCTAGTCAAGCATTCTCAGAGGTTGTCCTGGAAGCAGGGGCAGTGGCCTTATGCTGAGCAAGTGCTGAGGGTGGTGGTAAGTCCAGACTTCTGCCTCCATCTCCTATGACCCTCACCCGAACCTCTGCCCATGCTTCCTCCTGAACCTCGACTTTGAAAACACATCTGTCTCTTTGCCACTCCGTTCTTCTCTCTGCCATCTGAAGAAGATGGTATAGTGAGACTATATGGAAACTTTCACCATCCATTATCTATTTCATTCTTCATAACAATCCTCTGAGGCAAGGATTATCATTCCCATTGTGGGCGAGAATACTGAGGCTCAGAGAAGCTCTTTGCTATTAAGCATCAGAGTTGGGATTCAGGGACACTCTTCGAGATCGGGAAGTCCATTCTTTCTCACTCTACCACGCCATCTGCTCCTTACAACCTTCTCTTCCTCCTCTGTCCTGTGCAGGCAGCCAACTGGCATGGAACTCGGCCATCTCTCTGGTGCTCTTCGTGTGGCTGTCTTCCACCTTCTGGGCAGCGTTGCCCCTCCTGGGTTGGGGCCACTATGACTATGAGCCACTGGGGACGTGCTGCACCCTGGACTACTCCAAGGGGGACAGGTGAGGTGGGAGGATCATATTTGAGGCTCCATGGGAATCTTAGCTTTGAAATCCTATGCCAGGGGTGCCCGAGATGAAAATCCAAATGGGAAAATGGCAACATGTGCCAGAAAATCTCAACTCCTTAGTCATGATACTCACCTGCAGGTGGACAGTGGGACTGGAAAAAGCCTTTTCTGAAAACCGGCCAGGTGATGGGAATGTTATGAAAATTAGGGCCCAGAGTTGAACCCAAAAAGAGAGATCATACAATAAGCCATTGGCTTGTGTCAGTGAAAGCAGTCACCAAGCCACGCCACCAACTGTCCCAGCACAGTTGGCCGTCATGGCTCTGACCTCATCAATTTCTAAAGGGAGCTATCCCTTGGTACAATAGATTCAAAGAACATTAAGGTCCTTGCATTGGGAGGAAATGGCCTAAGCATATGCTATGAGGCAATCCCTGGAGAGATAGGACTGAATGCATGAGAGTCCCCACCCTCATGGGGCTCGTGTTCTGGTACTGCCCCATCAGGCAGCTCTAGGGAGACAAGAGCTTTGGAGAATCCTTTAGGAACTGCCTTGGGGAGTAGTCACATGGGCTCCAGCCCCTCTTGCTTCCACCAGAGCCATGTTGCATTCATCTGCTTTACCCATGGTATTTAATCATGAGGCATCCACACTGGATGACAGGCTTTCCAGGTGATGCTCTCTTGAGAATGCTGGGCCTGGTCCAAGTGTCCCTCCATGGCACTCCCCAGCAGGGTCCAGTCCTTCCAGCTGCCCCTGCCTGTTGGACAGCTCCAAGGTGACATAGTCTTCCCTCAGGAAATGGGAATCTGCCTCCCTGGGTCTCCCACCATTCCCGGTCAGCCCCTTCACTTCCCCATGACCACTATCTGGGACCCCAGGCTCTTCTGTGGTCCCTTCAACCGTTTCTTCAGTGAATAATATCCAACCTTCTTGTTATCCACAGTCTCCTTTTAAAACCCTTGGGCCTAGAACGCTCCTTGAATGTTCCTCTTGGTCCACTGACATCCCCACCACTGGGTGAACATGTTTCCCAAACTAAAATTTCCCATTCTTTGTGCTTGGGGGACAAAGAAGAAAGCAGGTCTGAGCACTTGAACAAGACAGAGACCTCTTCCTCCTTGCAGCTCCCTGGCTTCTAAAGGCAAGTTCTAGGGGGACCTTGTAGCTCCCTGGCTCCTAAAGGGAGTTCACCTGGGCCCCGGGAGCAACCACACTAAGTGCTTGTCTGAATGGGGCATTTCCCCACATCCGATTATCTAGAGCAGAGCTGGTGGGTCCTTGAGGGCAGCTGACCATCCCTGGGAGCTGACCCCAATCATTTACCCGCACTGCCTGCAGAAACTTCACCAGCTTCCTTTTCACCATGTCCTTCTTCAACTTCGCCATGCCCCTCTTCATCACGATCACGTCCTACCGGCTCATGGAGCAGAAACTGGGGAAAAGTGGCCATCTTCAGGTAAGAACCCCCCTCCCGGAGTGTTATCAGATGGTGCTGAGCAGCTCCAGGCTCTTGGTGTCCAGAACAAAGAACTGGATGTGACACACACAAATAGCAAAGCAAACATTGCTTTTGCAGCAAAGCAAAGCAGCAAAAGTTTATTCAGCACAGTATTACACTCTAGGAGGGGGAAGAGTGGACTGATCTCTGATAAATGAGATCAGCACCAGTTTGGTGTATTTAAGGTTCCCAAAGCTACCTAATCTCCAGCGAGTCTCCCGTTTGATTGATAGGCGGTTTGCTTAGTTACTTTGCTCCTTGTGCCCTTGCCTGTCACCTCCATCCCATAATCTTAAGTACATGCATGATATGCAGTGCATATGCATGAGTTTTAATGAGCTTATTATCATACAGGGTCATTTTAAGGATACTTTTTCTCTCCAATGCGCATGCCCATTTCTGAGGAGCTGCCTCTAACAGGTTTGGTCCAGATCTAGACGGCCATGGGGGCTTCTTGCGCACTTTTTACTCTTATTTTTGTTTTGGCTGCTCAACTTCTGTTTCTTGTCTTGCTTCTTGCTCATCGCCTCTTCACCTTGCTTCTGCTTCTACTCATTCCACCTTTAACCTCCAATTCCCTTTGCTATTCTCCTGCCTCAAGAGCAGCAGAAATTTCTCGGTTCCTCTCAGGGACACCAGGGAATATGAACAATGTGACATTCAGCAACCAGGGGTTTTCTGCATTTTTCAATAAAGAGACAATCCAGCTTGGACACAGTATAGGATGTTAGAACTGGCAGCCACTCTCCCTTTGCCCAGCTCGCCAAGGCCTGGGGAGCAAGGATCAGGACTGCTCAGATTCATCCAGATCAGGTAACTCTGGAACCAGGGCTCCCTGCTTGACACCATCCATGCTGTTCCACTTAATTCTTCCCAAGGATCTGAGGTTTGGCACAAAATTACAGGCTTTTTAAATGCTACTTTTAAACTGTTTTGAGATGTTTAATTTAATCACAGTCTCAGGCTGGTGCCCACAAGATAAAAATCAAACCTACAGGAATATTTGTCCAAGAAATACAATACTTCAAAATAAGCCTTTCTGGTCATTTTTTAATTTTTGCATTGCTATTCCCTTCCCAAGGTTTTATTTTAAGTTGGTCACCTGGATGACCTCTAGCAAAGGAGTCATTGTAAGGTTTATTGCCGAGTTAAATGAGAAAACGGAGACCGGAGTAAGAAAAGTAAAAGCCAATTTATTCAGCTCCCGGGCGAGGTTCTATGGTCCGGGCAAGGGGCCAGAGAAGTCGCGCCTTTCTTCGTAGGGCATGGGGTTTTATAGGGAGTAGAGGTAGTTGATCGGCTGCAGGGGAAACAAAGCTGAGGGTAGTCTCATTGGTTATGAAGGGACTGGTCACAGGTGAGGTGAGCCGCCATTGGCAGCCAGGCTGGGCCACGGGCAAGTGGGCTGGTTGAGGACATAAGGGGCAAGCTGCCATAGGGCAGGTTTTGGCTGGGCTTTTTTTAAACTTTGGCGGGCTTTCCAACGGGCCGGGGCCGAGTGCAAAGTTTGCGGGTGAGTGCAGGGCTGAGATTGGAATGCGGAAATGGGTGTGGGAAGCCTGCATGAAATGGGTGTGGGGAGTCCGCAAGGAGGGACCAGATGCTGAGTAATGTGCTCAGCATGATGAGGTAGTTTTCAAGCGCTGAGAGCCCCGGCAAGGCAACCGGCCTTACAGTCATAATAAGCAACAAAGATTAGAACAAATTCAGATACTAGTATTATTTCACCTTTGCAACCACTCTATGATGAAGGAGGTTTTCTTGTACCTTCTTTTTTTTTTGTCACCCTGGCTGGAGTGCAGTGGCACGATCTCGACTCACTGCAACCTCCACCTCTGGGGTTCAAGCAAGTCTCCTGCCTCAACCTCCCTAGTAGCTGGCATTACAGGCACCCGCCACGAGCCCTCACTTTGTTTTGTATTTTTAGTAGAGACAGGGTTTCACCATGTTAGTCAGCCTGATCTTGAACTCCTGACTTCAGGTGATCCATCTGCCTCAGGCTCCCACAGTGCTGGGATTACAGGCTTGAGCCACCACGCCTGGCCAAAAGGAGATTTTCTTATCCCTGTGTCACAGACTAAAAAGTTGAGGCTGAGAAGGGGGTTAACTAAGCAACTCACCAAAAGCCACACACCTGGATTGAAACCTGGGTTTGGGACTCCACCACCCATGTGGTCAATCACAGTGTGTAAAAGCAACACTCTCTTTTTAAGTCACTGCATCTGCCACTTTATTTATTTATTGTCAATTGGAAAGGGACTGTGCAAATCTATTTTAGTTGGACCCTGAGGTCACAGAAGGAGAGCAAGGGCTTTGCTGGGACCAGAATCCGTTCCCCTGGCTCCCAGCTGGCCGCTGGCATAGGTGACAGCTCCAGGCTATCCTGCATGATGGCCGCCCCAAGCCCTGTCTGGAGGCACAAAGTCCACATTTATTGGAGGCTCAGTCAAGCGGGAAACATGGCTGCCACCATGATCGCCTCATTTTTCTGGGT